TGAACACATCGACCCGCAGGATGTAGCCGTCGCCACCAGAAATGTTCCTCAACTTTCGGCCTCTGGGCTACAGTTCGTGATCACGAACGATATGGTTATATCAGCCGGAAAGGATTTAAAATCCTCCACGGGATGTGACCCGGATGGGATTCCATCGCTTGTCCTCAAATGCTGCGCGGATACACTTGCAACACCACTAGCAAGAGTATTCAACCTATCTTTGGCTACTGGTGTATTCCCAAACTGCTGGAAGCAGTCGTATGTTTTCCCAGTTTTCAAGAAAGGCTGCAAGCGGATTGTTTCGAACTATCGGGGCATAGCTGCGTTGAGCGCCACTTCTAAGCTGTTTGAGGTGATCGTTCTGCATAAGCTGGTTCAGAACTACGCACACTACATTTCGATTGATCAGCACGGATTTATGCCTAACCGTTCGACGACAACTAATTTGACTTGTTTCACTTCGTTCGTGATCCGCCAAATAGAAAATGGTCAACAAGTAGACGCTATTTACACAGACTTATCCGCGGCGTTTGATAAAATGAATCATCAAATCGCAGTTGCTAAATTCGACAAACTGGGAATGAACAGTAACTTGCTTTCCTGGCTTCGATCCTACCTAACCGGTCGAAGTAAATCCGTCAAAATTGGAGACCACGTTTCGCCCTCCTTTCCGGTTTGGTCCGGTGTTCCCCAAGGAAGTCATTTGGGGCCGTTTCTATTCTTGCTGTATATGAACGATGTCAATTTCATCTTGAAATGCCTAAAACTCTCGTATGCCGATGACCTCAAGCTTTACTACACGATTAAGCAACCACAAGACGCGTTTTTTCTGCAACAACAACTGGAAGCCTTCGCTGAATGGTGTCATATTAATCGAATGTCGCTGAACGTGTCCAAATGTTCGGTTATTTCATTTGGCCGCAAGCAATCACTCTTCCATTTTAGCTATGCTTTGGGAGGCGTGAATCTACAACGTGATTCGACAGTCAAGAACCTGGGGATTCTGGTTGATACAAAATTAACCTTCAAGGATCACGTCGCGTACGTTGTGTCTAAAGCCTCATCGCAACTAGGATTTTTATTTCGCTTTGCAAAAAAGTTCAAGGACGTTTACTGCCTAAAAGCTTTATACTGCTCAATTGTGTGCCCTATCTTGGAGTATTCGTCTATCGTCTGGTCTCCTTATTACCAGAATGAAACTCAACGCATCGAAGCTGTTCAGCGAAAATTCGTCCGGTTCGCTCTACGTGATCTTAGGTGGAGAGATCCATTCAACCTGCCCAGTTATGAAAGCCGTTGTCTACTTATAAATCTGGAATTACTAGAAGCAAGACGCAACGTGGCAAAAGCGTGCTTTGTTGGGGATCTTCTGCTAGGCAACATTGACAGTCCTACGCTTCTTAGTTTCTTGGACATCAACACACGTCGTCGCAATCTTCGGTCGCACTCGTTTATCACCATCCCTCCGGCAAGAACTAATTATGGCTTTCACGAACCTTTGCGAAGCATGTCCCGTGTATTCAACCGGTGTTATTATGTGTACGATTTCAACGTGTCACGAGAAACAAACAAGCGTAGTTTTAAACAAGTGTTATGTTAATTTATGTTATTCGTTAGTTTTGTATTTAGTTGTAGAACAGGTGTCATTGGGGTAATCATTTTACCTGTTGACTGATAAACAATAAACTCTTGGTATTGACTTTACCAATCCTTTGCCACCATTTCTTTACCGAACTGATCTACAAAAGTGCATTAGAAGCTCATAAACGACGTGTTCCAAGTGCATCCTTCAAAAGAAGACCCGCCACCCCTGGATGGGATGACGAATGTGTAAAGTTGGATCTTGAGGAATCCGGTGGCTTTAAAGATTATCGTAGACATGAAAGATCTGAGCTTTTTGAAAAGTATCTAAAGCTTGAAAAAAAGCTTAAAAACTTACTAAAAGCAAAGAAACGAAATTACTGTCGTACTTTTATCAAGGGACTTTCTAGAGAAACCTCGATGACAACGCTTTGGAAAAAGGCTCGCTATATGCGAAACCGCTCATCTTCCAATGAGAGTGAAGAATACTCCTCCCAATGGATATTCGACTTCGCTAAAAAGGTTTGTCCAGATTCTGTTCCAGCACAACCAACTTTACGGGATACAGTCCGAAGTAACGGTTCTCTGGATGAACCATTCACAATACTGGAATTTTCAATGGCACTTCTTTCATCGAATAACTCTGCTCCGGGAAGCGATATGATCAAATTCGACCTTCTAAAAAACCTCCCCGATATCGCTAAAAGACCTATATAATTCATTTATGGAATTCAATATAGTTCCATTAGCATGGAGACAGGGTAATTTAATAGCTATTCAAAAGCCTGGGAAACCAGCGTCTGATCACAATTCTTACCGTTTGATCTCTACGTTATCATGCCTGAGGAAATTATTAGAAAAAATGATCCTATTAAGACTTGACCATTGGGTTGAATCAAACAATCTACTTTCAAATACGCAATTTGGTTTCCGAAAGAGTAAAGGAACAAACGATTGTCTAGCGATGCTTTCATCTGATATTCAACTGGCCTTTGCGCACAAGGAGCAATTGGCTTCAGTCTTTTTGGATATTAAGGGCGCATTTGATTCTGTTTCCATAGGCATACTGTCAGACAATTTGCACAGTAGTGGATAACCCGGTATTTTGAATAACAAACAAATGACCTTCAATCTAGGTCAACTGACAACTTCTAGAATTAGCTAGATGGGCTTACCCCAAGGTTCATGTTTAAGTCCCTTACTTTATAATTTCTTACGTACATAACGTATTTGAAACAAAAGTGTCAACAAAGGATCAACTTTCTACGATAAATTTCCGGGACATGGTTGGGTGCTCACCCGGAAGACCTCATTAAACTATATAAAACGACTATTCTTTCGGTTCTTGAGTATGGCTCTTTTTGCTTCCTCACGGCAAGAAAAAGCCACCAAATCAAATTGGAACTTATTCAATATCGTTGTATCCGTATTGCACTTGGCTGTATACATTCAAAACACAATATGAGCCTAGGGGTCCTAGCGGGCGTAAAACCCCTGCAGAACCGTTTCTGTGAGCTCTCATTAAGAATATTGATTAAATTTAGCGTCAGTAACAACCTTGTGATTGAAAACTTCGATTAAATGCTCGAATTGAGCATCCAGTCTAGGTTCATGCGAATCTATCTTAATTATATGTCATCAGATATTAGCCTTCCTTACTATAACCCCTCTCGTGTATGCTTTACTAACGACAGTTCCCCCATTGACTATGATCTCTCCATGAAACAGGCTATTCATGGAGTTCCAGATCAACTTCGACCTATCTCAATTCCCTGCATTTTTGCTGAAAAGTACCAACAAGTCAATTGCAATAGAAGATTTTCACTGATGGATCACGAATTGATAGATCCACTGGCAATGAATACTCAACCGCCTTTCGGAAACTTCAGGAACCTTGTTCCGTTTATGTTGCTGAGCTAGCAGCAATCAACTTCTCATTGGGGATGATTTCTGATATGCCCATAGACCATTACTTCATCTTCTCGGATAGTCTCAATTCGATTGAGGCTATTCGGTCGATGAAACAAGGTAGGCACTCATCTTATTTCCTTTCAAAGGTAAGGGAGCAGATGAGTTTGCTGGTCGAAAGATCATATATGATTACCTCTGTATGGGTCCCCTCACATTGCTCAATCCCAGGCAATGAGAAGGCAGACTCTCTCGCAAAGGTGGGCGCACAACAAGGCGAGATTTATGATAGAAGAATTTCACATGATGAATTTTTCCCATAAGTACGTCAGAGTTCTCTTTTATGTTGGTAAAACGATTGGACAAATAATTCTCTTAGGCGGTGGTTACAATCCATTATTTCAAATGTTTCTTCGAGAGCGTGGTTCAAAGGTCTGGATGTAAATCGGGGATTCATTCGAGTGATGTCAAGACTTATGTCCAACCACTACTCGCTAGACGCACATCTCTATAGAATAAACCTCGTTGACAGCAATATATGTAGGTGCAGAACCGGTTATGATGACATCGATCACGCAGTTTGGTATTGCCCGGGTAATGACGCCTCCAGAGCACGACTATTGGATACCCTAGTGGCCCGAGGTAGACAACCCTTCCGTGAAGTAAGAGATGTATTGGAAAGACGTGATCTTCCCTACATGCAAGCGATCTACGAATTCTTTTGTTTGTCTGATGTTAGAGTTTGATGTGACCATCCCCTCCTTTCCAAACAAGTTGTTTACCTACAGAAATGATATGAACCATATTTTTGTTTCAGCGAGTTTCGGAAATGCTACAAAATAAAATGTAGTTTTTCGTTCATTTTTCCCCATTGTGCATTGCTATGAAATAAATATAATCATATTTATTGTTTCACCATTAAAATAAAAGTAAGCCTCAATGTCATATGATTAGTCACAGAAAAAATGTTCCCAAAAATAAGCATCTTTGCGAGTTTTTATTTAACTACGTAGTTTAGCAAAATAAGGCCCCCCTCCAGATAAATTTACTAGCTACGCCAATGATCGTGTTAGTATTTCTATTGTGAAAATAGTTCCTTTTCAAGCCAACAGCGACCAATTCGAAAGATATGCTTCTACTACAAATCACATAGGATTTCGTCTTATTTTCAAATTTGATTACTTCACTCAAGTAGAAAGATGAATATCAGTTTTAACAGCTTGAAAGAGAAGAAAAACTATAAGTGTATCATAAAATTTAAGTGATTCGTCCTAAACTAAATTTCCATTCCACCAAACTTGATCAGCAATGTTTCATTTCTCTCCGCATGTCTGTGCTATTCCTCCAAACCCATGGTGCTGACGTTAAACAATTTCAGTCACGCTCCCGCAGGTCAAAAATCTGGGTCGCAGTAAAATGTCGTGGAGGAGGAGGAGGAGAAGGAAGCCCCTCATTCCCACCAACTACTCCCCCTTTCTTCTCGTTTGCCCCCGTTCTGAGACACTACTTACCGAGGTATCGCTTTTCCTCCAAATGATTATCGCCGGGGTTGTAGTATGGGGCGGGGTATGCCTCGTTCATTGCCTCCATCAGCTCTTCGTAGTCCAGTGGAGCGGATTGGTACACGGGCTCGAGAATTTCCGGCGTGCTATCGTCCAGTGCTTCATCGTCGTAGTAGAGTTCACGTTTCTTGCGGCCACCACTTGAGCTGTCACCTCCGTGACCCTGGGAATTCTTCAGCGCTTGGATGTTGCGTTTTTCTGGAGGGAATTTTAAAGAAAAAAAAGGACAAATGTTTCAGATTCTAACAGCAATATGTTCATCATTTCCCCAAAAAGAGAAGTCTTTTTCTCGCGACAAACAATTTAAAACTATTTACAAAGATTCCACTCTCCAGACTTCAGCGAAACGAGAAGCATTTAAACCGCGAGAAGAACAGAGCGAAGCAAAAAGTACAACACAACTTTTGTTCGCCACCCACTGAAGACTTTGCACCATGCTGTCACCGCCGTTGTCGTCGTCGTCGTCGTCGGTGTCGTAAAATTCCGCAAACGCTTTTGAACGTGAATTGATTGCAACAGGACGTTTTCCAGCGTGGTGAGTTTTACGGCTCAGGAAATTTAATATTTTGTCGCCGGAGATTTTCCGCCAGTCTGCTGCTGAAGGATGTTTCGCGGGAGGTGGTACAAACTGCGAAGCATATTTCAGACATGAGAGAGCTATAAATGCTTCTTTGAGGAATGTAATAAAAAAAAAAGTGGAAAGTACTGTTGCATGAATTTCATGCTCGCGGCGGCCGGAAAGCTAATCCGCAAAGTCCTGTTGACTGATGGTGTTAACATCATCTCGGCCAGTCAGTTGTGCAAGGAATGGAAGATTTACATTATGCTTTGGGCAAATTTCAAACAATTATGCCTAGGGCCAGATTTTATTGGATTGAAATGCCTTTGTTTTCTGATGTGGATTATTATTTGTAAAAAGAAGCATAAGCAATCGCAAATTCCACAAACAGAATTGGGGAATTTCATAATGATGGCCTTCGAATAGCATTACATAATTTTACATTGATGATGTTGGTGCCTCCTGGAACTTTCCCAGTAATTTTTATTATTCCAAATCGCAGGACATGAAAATTTTACTAATTAAAAAAAAAACATTAAAAATAACTCCTCGCGGAATTTTCTACTAAATGCAAATTTTTGTCCAGACCCTCGATTTCAATCTTTACAAAGCAACCAAATCCTTAGGATTTACAAAATAATTCAAAGTTATCGTTCTGATATGGATTCCCCATCAACAAACTTTATCAATTCCAAACAAAATGATAACATATATTAATTCATCTTGAGTAACTACTTGGGTTTTATTGGGGTTTTGTGAAGGGGTTGGTCACGCAGCACAGTGTGCCAAAAACACAGTAGGACACACCATGGCACACTCATTGGCCCTGTTTGCCACCTATGGTACCTATTTTGTTTATGATTTCTAAAGTAACTGGCATTACTGCACTTTTTCTGCGCCTGCACAGTGCGTATTTGTCAAAATTGGATTGTTGACCATTTTTGGTATCCGCAACAGATAATTCCGCTGGAGCCTCCAACTCACCTTTACTGCAATGGTCCACAACCAGAGCAACATCACGACGATGACCGGGTGGTTCGTTTCCCAAGCACACTTTCGTCGCTGTTGTTGCTTTCTTTTGCTCGGCGAGTTGTATGGACTGGCGGTGCCACCAACGAAACTGCTGCTACTGGACGGATCGTGCTGAAGTGTCCCTTCCGGTCGTTCCATCCCCCAGTCGTCAGCAGCAGCACCACCACCGTCATACTGTTGGTTGTTGACCAATCCGATCGCTATCGACACGTTCCGTTCGTTTCCCTCAGAGACAAACTGGTAAGACCGGTGGAAAGAATGTTCATCTCTTTGCCGAAGATATCGCCATCTAGACCAATCTCATCATTGTGCGACAGAGGAATAATATCATCAAGAAGCGTTCAACAAACCAAAACCAAGGTTACAATTCACGGTTGACGTTTAGCAACGGTAAGCAACCATATCTCGACATGATCGTAATCAGGAAGGACAACCGGCACCTCCCTACGGAATGATACCAAGCGCCTTCCTATCATCATCCCGATCGCAAGGACGCTCTCCGTCACTACCATGAGTCGCGCAATCAATGCCGGCAAGAAATCCGTGTCGTCAAACGAACCAGCTGGATGGAGTTTCTGGAACGAATGAATTCGTCACAGTCTTCGGCCGACTTATGGAGGCAAGTCAACGCCCTCAGTGGGAAACTGCGCATGACACTGCTCCACGTACAGAATAACGGTGAAGCGGTTTCTGACCCTGCAATTGTAGCGGACGATCTCGCAGCCATCGAGAAGTACGAAGACGAATTCAAGCGGAAAGCTAGGCCTTCGACGTCATCAACTGCAAGTTTCTCTGTTTCTTCTGACGCTGGGAACTCGGACATCAACCAGGCATTCTCCTGGCAGGAATTGCAGCATGCCCTCCGCTGCAGTACCGGAAAGTCGGTGGGTCCCGACGAAATCGGGTACCCTCTACTCAAGAGGGTAAGCTCTGGCTCACCAACTCGTATACAGCGTCGTGGAAGGAGAGCTTAGTCATTCCCATCCCAAAAACCAATGAAACAACCCGTGAAGTTAGCAAGTTCCGGCCAATAGCCTTGTATGGCCAAGGTCCTGGAGCGAATGGTCAACAGGAGGCTAAAGCATTTCCTTGAAACCGAAAACCTGCTAGACCACCGACAGCACGCCTTCCGTCAAAGGTACAATCGTCTCGCTGGATATATCGAAGGCCATCAACAGGACGTGGAACGCCACTCGTCTTAGAGCAGCTTGTCAACTGGGGGCTGTGTGGAACCATGGTTCACTTCATCAAAAAATTACTGACCGATCGTTCTTTCAGAGTCGCAGTTGGCATTACGAGGTCCCAGCTTCTCTTTAATAAAGACAACCAACCAACCAACCTGGTCCCAGCTTTTCAGAAAAGAGACGGGTGTCCCACAAGGTTCAGTTATCGCCGTTGACCTCTTCCTTGTGGCCAGGCCATGAACGGAGTTTTCGGAGCACTGCCGAAAAACGTTTACATTTTCGTGTATGCTGACGATGTACTTATCGTAACTACCGGCCCAACAGCAGCACGTAACAGGATCAAGGCCCAGGCAGCAGTCTCCACTGTAGCCAGGTGGACCAGTGCGGTAGGCTTCCAGCTTTCGGCCACCAAAAGCGTCAGGTGCCTCGTCTGTCCATCCCGGCAACGTGCTAGCGGACCACCTATCAAAGTTCAAAGCCATTGAAGAAGACGCTCTGTATTCTGGGGGTACTTGTTGACCGGTTCCTCAACTTCGAGCAGCACTTTAGGGCGATCAAGAACGACTGCCGCAGTAGGATCAACTTGATCCGCACCATCTCTCGCCCCCACCGGTCTAACAATCGCGACACTCGTTTGCGGGTTGCAAGACCCGTCATCGATAGTCGCCTACTGTACGGTCTTGAGATGACGTGCATCGCCGCCGAAAAGCTCGTGCAGATACTAGCACCAACTTTTGGATTGTCTCCGGTCTTCTTCCGTCAACACATGCATCGAAGCGGGTATTCTGCCCTTCCACCATCGTATAACCGCAGCAATTGCAACGAAAGTCGCTCCCTTTACCGCAATGACTTCCGGAAATGACAGGATCTTTCTTCTCGATGAGGGGAACAGACTCCTCCGCATGACTGCCAATTCGGAGCTCCCCCCAGTGGCCAAGGTCCACTGGTACGGGACAAAAGTTGGCACATACCTCCACCAAAAATCGAGAGTCGGATAAAGAGCAGGTTCAAGACTGGAGATAACTCTGCAGTGCTGAAGAGAACAAAAGCCGAACTGCTAGGCTCGGACTACCCAACCCATGCCCACATATACACGGACGGATCGCTTTCCCGAGCCGGGGTCGGAATTGGAGTAGCCGAAATTTCAGCACCAATGAGCAGGAGCCTACCGCCACAATGCTCGGTTTTCTCCGCCGAAGCTGCGACCATCTTTGTTGCCGTTACAGCATCCTCAGACCGGCCCATACTGATCCCTGACTCACCCCTGGATACAGGGTATTGTGTAGGCCACACCTCCGAACACGGTGTTTTCCCGGATCCCTGGGCACTGCGGTATGCCAGGAAACAGCGAAACCGACTGCCTGGCAGGATCTGGACCAGCTGGCCCTCGTTACACCGACGAACTTTTAACTTTCTTTTGGCTGACGGGAAATCTCTGCCGGACGGGTGATTATCCCTCCTACGGTGGAGCTCCGATCTCTTTCAAAACCCTGCATAACTTTGATGTACCAGATTGTTTTTTTTTCTCGTTGCCTGTATTGTTAGTCTTTTTACTGGAATCTGTTTTAATTGCGTCGGTTTGAGTACAAAATTTGCAGGCAGAACCCCCCTCTGAGGCCTTCTATTTTATAGAGATGAACCAGCCAACGACTAAAAATCTCTCCAATAGAGCCAAAAAAATGATACCAAGCAGCTCAGTCCGCATCGTGCTCTAATGTCGTTCTGATCTATTCGCTTTTTTTCTGGAGGAAGTGTTACTGCTACCGAAAGCTACAACAAATTGTGCTAAATATTATCTTGTTCGATTCTTATTTCTCTCCAATCCTTGTTTGGACCCTACCCGAGGTAATCCTGCTTGGAAAATTCCTCTCCGATCCTTCGGATTTTTATATCAATCTGCTTGAAAGACGCTTCGGAGAAACTTTCTTCTGCCGCCATGGTACCTAAACGCAAAAGGGTAATCTCTTGATCCTCCTTTTGATGAAATTTATTTGAGCAATCAATTTGATATGCTCACGAATGATAAGAATGATTCATCAAAATTCCATTTAAACATGCAAAGAAGGAAAAGGTCCCCCTATTGTGATATCACTTTCTGATTTCCATGATTTCTGAACGAAATTTTGAACTTCGTTAAATTTAAATTTTCAATTCAAATTGGCCGTCGAGCTGAATTCCATATATTGGCTGAAACCATGGACGGATTCAAAAGTCTTCTCCGGTATCTTACAGAGAGCAGCACCATTTGTTTACTTATGACACCAAAATTGAACGTTTGTTCAACGTTTACTTGAAAGGTCTGCCCAGTGAATCCCTGGATCAGTTCAAAGATATTTTGGACACGGTACCCGCAACTACAACATCAAGCCACGCTGCAGCAACTGCGCTCACGAACACGCCACTTCTGATTGCCCTGCGGGTGGAGCCGTGGCGTTAAAATGCGCCAACTGTGGTGGCGCACACCAAGGTTCCGACAGACAGTGCTCCAAACGCGAGGACTTCAAACGCATCCGAAAGCAGGCGTCAAGAAACAATCAACCAGGACGCAAGAAGGACAAAACCACAGCATTCAGGACGGAGGATTTCCCACCTCTTCGTGCTCCCCAGCAAAGACAAGCAAATGCGCGGGTGCAACCCGCTCCCCCTCAAGAAGCTTCTGGTGATTCTGCTGGCCAATGCTCTCCATCCCCCCTGGATTCTGGGGACAACCAACAGCGCAAAACAACAACCCCGATCTGTTCTCAGCGGATGAACTGACGGAAATTTTCGTCAACACATGTCCGGTGCTCTTCGTAAGTGCCGCAATAAGCCCGAACAGATCCAAGTGCTCGGTAAGTTCGTCATCAGTATGGCGTCTAAACCGCTAACTATCATCACCTGGAATGCTTGCTCTGTAAGAGCAAAAGAGATTGAGCTTGCCGACTTCCTCCGCAAGTACAGCATCGACGTGGGCCTTCTAACCGAGACCCATCTAAATTCCGGCGACAGATTCTGGTTGCCTGACCACAACATTATTCGGCTTGATCGCACCAGCTCCAGGGGGGGGGTGGTGTTGCGGTCGTCGTCAAGAAAGGAATAAAATACCACACTCTGTCCCATATCCGCACCTCTATCAACGAGGCCCTTGGTGTGGAGGTGGAGTCGTCGACTGGATACGTCCAGTTCATCGCCGTCTACTGCCCTCGACAGTGTGCCGCCAGCAGTGGACTAGCGGCTAAATTCAAGAAGGACCTGTCGACCATCACCCGTAACGATTCCCGCTTCGTAATCGGAGGAGAACTAAATGAGGCCTGGCGGAACTACCAGCAGAACCAGAACGGTCGTCTGCTGTTCGACCATTCGCAGCATGGGCTGTACTCCGTTTGGTTTTCGGATGAACCAACATTTATCTCACCGGCGGGCAACCCATCGACGCTAGACCTGTTCCTGACAAATATCGGCTTGTCCATCGGGTCGAAAACCCACCGCTTGACTCCGTGGAGGACATCGACCGAGCGTTGGAGGGACTCCACCAAGCCATAACCGTGGCTGACGAGGCGTGCGTAGAAATGTTCGTAGACGCCAGTTCCAGAGAACCGGAGATCTAGCGACGAAACGTGAAATGGCCGCTCTGAACAAGGAGATTGCTTCCAGAATGGTCTCACTGTGGAACGAAAGTTTCGGGCGGCTAGTTCAGAATCTCGACGACCACTCCAGACCATTCTGGAAAGTTGCCAAGGTCCTAAAGACGCACCCCAAACCCATTCCACCACTCAAAGATGAAAATGATGACGATCGGCTCATAATCACCCCTCAGGAGAAAGCAAATGCGATTGGTGAGCATATTGCCAAATCTCTTGCTTGGCTCCAACATCCAAAGTCCGCTCGAAGTTCAGATTGAGCAATACGTACTCAACCTTGATTCCTCCCCTTGTGCCATCCCTCCGGAGGATAGAATCACAGTGGAACAGATTTGCTCAGCGCTGAAATGCACCAAAAACATGAAGGCCCCCGGGCTTGACGGAATATTAAACCTAGTATTGAAAAATCCTTAACATGAAGGTTCACTCTCTGCTGGCTGCTGTCTTCAACAGATGCTTGGAACTGCACTACGTTCCAAGTATCTGGAAGACAGCGAAAATCACACCTATTCGCAAACCCGGGAAGGACTCAACGCTAGCTTCAAGCTACAGACCAATCAGCCTCCTTTCAGCGCTGAGCAAATTGTTCGAGAAACTCATTCTCAATCGTTTGCTTAAGTTTGTCGAGGAGCACAACATTCTCCTACCGGAACAGTTCGGGTTCAGGAAGGGGCACTCCACAAATCATCAGCTAGTACGGGTGATGAATAACATCCGAAGTAACAAGGCTGTATCCAAGTCCACAGCCATGGCCTTGTTAGACGTTGAGAAAGCGTTTGATAATGTCTGGCACAATGGGCTTGTATTCAAGCTTTGTAACTTCAACTTTCCATTACATCTGGTTAAAATCACTCGTAGCTACCTCCAGCAAAGGTCGTTTAAGGTATCGTTGAATGGTTGTCTTTCAGACACGTTTTCCATCCCAGCAGGAGTCCCTCAAGGCAGTCTGCTGGGCCCCTTGCTTTACAGCATTTACACTTCCGACATTCCTCCCCTTGGAGACGGTTGCGTGTTTTTCCTGTTCGCAGATGATACCGCAATAGCCGTCAAAGGAAGGATGCCTCGCGAAATAACGAACAAACTTCAACGATGCCTTAACGCCTTTGCTGATTATGCCACCACGTGGAAAATCAAAATCAATGCTTCCAAAACCCAAACAATCATGTTCCTCCATCGGCAATCACCCAAACTAAAACCGGCTCCCTCTTGTACTGTAATCATGGATGGCACAAGGGTTGAGTGGTCCGCCGAAGTAACCTATCTCGGGATGTTGTTCGATGAAAAGCTCCTCTTCCGTTCACATGTAGAGAAAACAGTAGTCAAGTGTTCTGTCTTGGTTAGGTGTCTGTATCCGCTGATTTGCCGCAGATCCCGCCTCTCAAGGGTGAACAAACTGGCCGTCTACAAACAAATCATAGCACCTGCGATCCTCTACGCAGCTCCGATGTGGGAATAATGTGCACAGACTGACAGGAAAAAAATTCAGGTCGCTCAGAATAGAGTGCTGAGGATGATACTTGATCGTCCTTTCGACACTAGAATAACAAATTTACACGAAGAGGCAGGCATTGCCAAATTAGATTGCAGAATTAATGAAATTAAAACTAAATTTGCACAAAAATGTAATTTATCAGAACATGCTTTGATAAGCAATTTGTATATAGTAGATTAGTGTAGCATACTACTTTCCATCTGGAAACAATTTACAAGCCCTAAATAAAAATATCACAACCTCACACAGCGTTACATAACCCTCTTGGCTGATCAATAAATTATGCATTGCTAGCAATAGTCCATTTCCCATTTCCCTATCCATTACCTTCGCAAAGTACAACGCGCATCGCCGTAGCACATGTTTTATGTTTATGATGAGATGTTTGAAAATAAGCGAAGCCAGCTCGGCTTGGGTCAGTAGGTAATTGTAAACTAGTATTTAAGCTAATTACAGCTAAATATACAGAGGGACATTCTAGCACAAAAGTTGACGAGAGCAGTCATGCTCAGGCATGGAAAATCATTTACATTCATTTCATGCATTCATTTACATTCATTTGCCCCCAACTTTTTTCATCAACAGAATTCCGCAAAATGATGTATGGAGCTTTTATAGGTTTTGTTATTAGCTACAACTTTTGCCAGCAACCCAAATCTGTATCTCTTATGCATCACGAATTAGAGGGAGCAGAACTCGTTACTGTTTTTCAGTGAATGTAAAATACATTCACTGAAAAACAGTAGTGAATTCTGTTTGCTCTGGTTCGTCATGCATAAGAGATACGGATTTAGGTTTTTAACAAATGTTGTAGTTAATAACAAAACCTACAAAAGCTTCATACATCATTTTGCTGAATTCTGTTGATGAAAAAAGTTAGGGGCAAATGAATGTAAATCAATGCACTAAATGAATGCAAATGATTTTCCATGCCTGGTCATGCTGCTACTGTTTTAATCAAAAATAAATCCTGCCATCTAAGTGTTGAAAGTTGAAGTCTGGAAGTCTGAGATAGAACATTAGGTGTATATAGTAGTTGTAGGTTAGTTTTAGTTGTAAATAGTAGTTATAAGTAGCCTCCTTTTTCCAATTCAAACTAGGAACGGTAAATAATAATTAAAATCTCAAATGTACTAAAGTTGAAAAGACGCATCTGTGTCACTTGAAAATTCATACATGTAAACCACACAAACACAAGAAATAAAGATCATTTAAAGTCAAAACTGTGCTGTAGTTCAGATCAAACTGATCTTTTAGAACAACCACTCCAGTGACACTGTCCATAGCAACGAAAGTCTACACCAGTTACAGTCTGCACATAATTTCCGATGCCGTTTCTAATAGTTAAATTCTTGCATCACAGAGAATAATAATCGCCCACCAAGTCACGTACAGCATTCCGACATAAATTGCTACAACAGCATGTACCCAGCAGCAATACAACACTATCATTCTTCAAATATTAATACACCTATCAGCATGTCGCCCACCCTTCCACCCCCGCGCATTCACCGACAACTCACCATTCTCGGAAGCCATGCTCTGCTGCCGGGGCAGATTCCAGTCGCGTACCAACGTTTGGATGTTGCGTTTGCTCTCCTGTGGCCCTGCATAGTGTGGGATCGAATTATCGCGTGCCAGTGATTGCATGTTTCGCTTGGGAGCAATCGACGGAAGCATTCCGGTTCGCAGCAGCGATTGAATGTTCCGCTTGCCGGGCAGTTCGTACTTTCTCGCCAGTGATGCAATGTTTCGCTTTCCGTTTAGCATATAGCCGGACGCCCGTGCCGACGCTAGGTTGCGCTTCTCGTCGGTCCACCCACCGGCCGTGGAGGCCTCCGAGGAGTCCGGTTCCCGTGAGGCCGGAAGCTGACCATTCTTGGCCAGGGTGGCAATGCTACGCTTGAGATAGTCCGACGACGGTGCCCGCAGCAATCCAGCACGTGCCAAGGAGCCAAGATTGCGCTTACCTTCCCGCAGGAGCGAACGGTAGGAGCGTTTGTCTTCGTACGGGCCGGAGTTGTCGTAGCTTCCATACTCGTCCAATGATTGGTAGCCACCGTCGGTGGGGTCCCGCTCCAGGATGTGCCGCAATTGGTTACGTAAGGCAGCGGCATGCATCTCGTAGCCTTCCTCCGGGTAGGTGAGGTCTCGCAGTAACGATTCCAGCTCACATGGTTTCAGCCGACGGGAGGCGTCTACGTACTGGGAGTTTGCCTGTATCGGGGGAAAAAAAGGAAAACCATCAATATGGAGAGGCAATGCCGTTCTATTTATAATCATGATTTTCTTGGGAGTTATTATAATAATTTAGCCGCACATAGGGGGTAACCAAAGCGCTAGTCCCTAATTGAAGGCAAAAAATCATCACGATGCTCAATACTATCCAATTAAATATGACACCCTCTAGAGAGCTCGAATGGAATAGCAAATGAAGGATCGGCCCAAAAGTTGATAACATGAAGTTGGGATAAACAAAGTCCCGAAATGACACTCAGTGTGTCACTCAAACTGGACGAAAACTTCCCCAGAAAAGAAGAAATTTCCATTTAACTTCTTGAATGGGGGGGGGGTTGACTCGAATGGATGTTGCTACAATATTGTATAAATTTACATAATTTCTTTTGCGGCTTCTAAACCACGTGCAAACGTGAGGATAACAGCCATTTCCGTTTCCTTGTTTGTATCTATCTAATTGTCTTCTTCGAACCAACCAAACTACCATGGAGCAAAAAGTTTCTTAAGCTTCTTAAGTCAACACAGAAATTCAATGCCAACAGCAATTTGCATCGGTTTTGATGATGCTGATTGTAGGCTTGCTTGATTTGCCTCCTTTCTCCTACTTGTTACGGTCTCGTTAGTGTTTATCACCACAAAAAGCATGTGGCAAACGGTTCTTCTCGTGGCCAGAGCAAAAACAGCTTTCAGGTTTATATCGATGGTGATATCAAAAGAAAAATAAAACAGTTGCTAGGCTATAGATGGCGCTAATTACATTTTTTCATCTCTTACATGTGAGCATGTTCATCTGCAGTATATCCATCTACCCACTCTTGTTCCAAAGTAGGTATATTTTGTGCGATATCACTTATCGTTAGATTGAGCTTCCGTCGCCATCGTCGTCGCCGTCGTCGTCAACCACCCACATGTTCCATCGGATATTACTCTGTAATGTATGATTACGTACCAACGGAAGTATACACACGCATATCACATATCACGCCTTCAGACTTCAGAACGCTTGTAGGAGTGTTGAAGGGTCTCTCATCCTGAAAGAAAGAGTAGAGTGTTGCCGTCTCAAACCAAAACGAGCCTTTGATCGACTCGATTTCACGCAGCAGATGCCGTCAATGTGTGAAGTTGACTCGATACAGTACTGATCCGATTTTGTCAATATTTTACAATGTTCTACGAAACCCAGCGGTACTTTCAGTGGTCTTACTGCACCGAAGTATACCTTAAACATCCATCTTCAAGATGAATTAGAAAGATTTGGAATTACGGGTATGTGAAATTATTGAACCGAAAAAGTCTGATGCCCGGAGGGGTTGGCTAAATCGGGTAAATACTGTAGTACAAACCACTTCAGAAACTAAAGGCAGAAAGGCACTAAGCGAAATGACTCCTTGAATTTAGTTCGTAGTTACTCGTTGTTCGTATTCACTAGACGGGCATGAATGGATCAACTTTCGATATTACATGATATTCAAGCTGAGAGTCGTAGAAGTACAAACGGAAGAAGTGTTTAATAGAAGAAAGCGATATTCAATATCAGCCTTCCTTCTTGGCGTAACGATGGTTGTCGTTGCTAATGAAGAGGAGGTTTGAATTTCCAGTAATCCACTAGAAATTATTATTTCCTATCAACTGCAAGATACAACAAAGTGTTCAATGAGTTTGCATCGAGGTTGTAGACCTCTTATCAAAATATTCACCAAATTTATCTCAAAAGCAGTAGGGTAGATGTACTAGTCACAACTAGTACACCTACCCTATTTGTTCACACTTTCCAATCAGTGAAATTCGTGGAAATTACTTTTAGACATCCTCCACCACCCCAACACAGATGAGTGCACTTTCAGCGTGCTGGCAATAACTTCCCAATGCTTTGCAAGACTTGCTCGTGTGGTTTGTGCCAAGACGTGTGTGTTCTTTCATTTCCCGTTTCAAGCCAATATATTTTACGAGGAAGTATCAGAAGCAGGAGCATTACAAATGAATCAATATCCAATTTTCCGACCAACGATGCGTGTCGTCGTCCTCCGTTATTGCACCTACTTCTGTTTTTAACGATAAGTAGGATAGCCGTACTCCTTCGAAAAAGAACATTTCTGGTGTACTGAGGTTTTCATAGTTGAGCAATATTTCGCGTTCTAAAGTAAATGCGTCATATTCTGTGACCTCCCCCTCCCACCCAGCTTAGTATGTAATGTGGTGTAATGTGAAAGGACAAATAAAAAGTGGCTATCATTATACAAGACAGCCACACTGTGAAGTGACGACGACGGCGATGATAATGATGATGCATCATATTATTTATGATGAGGTTTATTTTTAGTCTTTTCTTGTTTCATATTGAGTTTCTCGTCAAAAGATGGGAACAATAGAATAATGATGAGCTGGAAGTCTGTCGAGAAGGTGACCCCGTACCCGCATAGTCTTTTGTTCTACGGAGCCTTGCGGATTCCGCTTTTCTCCGTTCCGTGGGCGAGGGAAATTGTGAGGGCGTAGAATATTAATAAAAATATCAATAAGTAAATTGCCAATCATTGGCCTTTTCAGAAGGAAGCCATGTCATAAAAATCGTTCGTAAGACTTATTTTAATTTCAAATTAAAAAATAATCATTGATGTAGGGGACATGGATGTAATGTCGGCCTAAATACTCCTAATTTGGGCCCATACATAAATTCGGCAATCGACTAAATTTTCAATAGTGACCAAAAATATCCATTAGTACCGTCCCAATGAGGCGTTCATCTAGATAAAATTGATAAATAGCAGATTTTTAGCGATGGGCCCAATCTTAGATCCATAGGCCAACATTAGAGCCATTTCCCCTATGTAAACTTATTCGCTCTAGCGGTATCGATGGTGCAGTAGTGGTAAACGAGATTACCTCTCACCCCAGCAGGCTTTGGTTCAATCCCAGTCGGTGCCGCCGGGATGTTCTGAGGCATAACATCTCTGATCACGCCTTCCTTCGGAAGGGAAGTAAAGCCGTAGGTCCCCGATTCATGAGTTTGATGGGTCTATAGGTAGGGTCCACGTCTTTCCAAGCTGGTCATACTCACGCATAACCCGGTCCCTGGAAGCGCACCCACCAGTTTCCGTGATCGAAGCGCCTGCTTGTCGAGCACCGACTATACGGCCTCGCTGGAATTCCAAAAGCACAAACGACATTCTGTATTGCACGCTTTACCACTTAACTTTGATTAGACGTAAATATTACCACGGAAAGATAAAAATACCTAATTTTGAGTTCTTTTCATCCAGGTTGGCAGTTGCGTGCGCCAACTCAATTTAGAGTTCTAGCGCCTACTTCTTCTTCTTCTTCTTCTTCTTCTTCTTTTTCTTCTTCATTCCTTCATTTAACGTCGGTCTCTGTTCCGCAATCTAGTGCCAATCACCGACGGACATCGATTGCCATCCATTGACGGCAATCGAATGTGCAGCAAGGCTGTTTCCACACTTGCGTAGGATATTGCACCCATTCATCAACACGCATTGACCGAGACCAACGGCTTTACTTCCTTTCCGATGGAAGACTAGCGCCTGCTTAACTTTGAGTTGTTGTCATTCACCAGGGTAGCCAAAAGTAAATCTGTGTTTTTGCCCCAAAAAATCTTCTCATCTTAGTTTTTTTTTGTCCAGAAAATCTGTGATGATATCTTTGGTACGTTCGTAACGTTTGTTTTCTTTGTCGCGTTTGAAAATTTGGAAAAATTTAAAATTAATGATTTATGTGAGATAGTTTGTGTCGTAATTGGAGCACATTTTCCGCGATTCGAAATTCCAGTGATGACCTGTGTTATGTTTATACTTGGGTGCTGATCCGGTCAACCCCTACCATAGATGGACCTGGATTCGATTGCCCGGTTCTGGGTCGCCACCAAAGCCGAGATTCAAGAAGTTATTTTCACGAGCAGCTCAATTCCTTGACAATCATCAGCAACGGAAGATCTTCCATTCGGAACATCGCGACTGCACGTACATCGACGGTCTGCAGGGCCTACAATATCCCCCAATATCCTGGGGCCACTGTCAAGCCAGCAAACCCCCAACGTCCCATCGTTCAGTGCGATCATGTTGCCGAGGTAGGACTTTCAAGTGCCAGAGAGAAGCTTACAGATGACAAACGTCAAATGGAAATCGGAAATTTGGTTAACATTGGAGGCATTTGGTGAGATCCTTCCATTACACTGTATTTTATTTCCTTACATTGTATATTACTGTTACATTCACTCATAACCTAGCTCGGAGCGTTTGGTACGGTATGTCCACGCATCCTTCCACCCCTGAAGATTCACGAAATGCATCGCTGTTTAGATATACCATGCCAGCACCATATTTGACGCGTTCCTAATGATGACGCATTTGTCTATTTTGACAAGATATTTTTTAAAACCTTGTTACACCATCATTCCTAGAGCACTGAAAATAATATTTGCAGGAGTAACATTTCAAAATTAATTATTAAAAATAGTCGAACATTATGGAGTGCTTCGATTTCGGTACTGCTTCGAATATGGTGCCTCCACGGTTTATTTGAACTCGAATCCTTTCACAGAATCATCTTTGCGGCAAATGCAACGCAGCAGGCCTGGCAGTTTTGAAGTTTGTGTCATATCTAAGATATGCTGCAAACATCAATGTTGACAAGAAAAATGATTAGGTCTTATCTAACCTAATGATTTTCCAGGATGCTTCCTTGTACTGGCTGTGGTTAAATAAATTAGATTAGATTAGATTAGATTAGAAAATCTGTGATGATATCTGTGATGATAATTTTCCTTTGAAAAGTGATTGAGCCATTTTTCAGATAGAGACAAAAAATAGATAACAATATATGTATCATAAATTGCCTATGGTTTGGCAGAAAAGAATACCTCTGACAGTTCTCATTCTCCTTTTTAATTCCGCAAAAAAAAGCACGCTTATATATATAAGTTGGTGATGGTAAAATAAGTGAAAATAATGTTTTGTTTTTGAACATCT